AACTCCCAGAGTTCCTCAGCCAGCAAAGCTGGCTGAGGAACTCTGGGAGTTGAAGTCCGGACATCTTCAAGTTGCCAAGGTTGAGAAACACTGCTCTAAGAAACAGGAATGCCACAATATCCTCATGCAAAGTTTTTGAACAACTTTGGCTGCATAGCTTCAGCAACACTGCAAAAACAACTCTAGAATTTTTTTAAAAACCCTTAAAATAAACCTTTCCACCAAATAACCCGAGAGATACTATATAATGCTGTCTTACCAGCCTTGTCCAAGGCAGCAAATTTACTGTAGTTCTGCTAAGACGGGAGCATTCCAAAGACGATAAAACCCCAATCTTTACTTTTCCATTAGAACTGTGCCCGCCCCGCCCTTTAGCACTGCTCAGCAACCCCCACAAGCTGGGTTTTTTTTTCTGTCCTGGACTAAGGATATCAGCCTTGTGGGTGGGGAGAAGCACAGACTCACCCTGATGAAAAGATTGGAAGAGAAATTCCTCCTGGGTCCATCGCCACATCCCAGTTTTCGGAACAATAAAAATAACTTTGAAGCTGAGTTTGGGGATGATGCGAAAACTGCCCTACCCCCCAACAAAAACAAGTTTAAAAACCTCAGCTTAGACTTAATGAAGAAAATTGCACAATTGGGGAGAAGAGAATCTTACTCATCTTACCTTTCGACCTTCAGGGCTGGATGAGTCTGAAGGATAAGGATGACCCCTAATCTGGCATGATTTACTACTTCTGATCAAGGGGTCGGTAGAGACCTCCCACATTAGTTTAACAAAACTGAAACTCTGGCTATAATGGCTAGCACTCGGTCAAATACCCAGAGCGGTCAGACAATAACATGGAAATGTACTGGTTGGCAGTTCAAAGTCCTTCAGAAGGACTTACAAACAGATACTGAGTTCATCTTGACCTCCCCGGGACCACTGTAGATGGCAAGAGTTCAGAACATACTTATCTTTTTTATTGGGGAATTATCAATCCTCCATCTCAGTACTATAATCAATACCTCAGATACATCCTCTCCCCCCCCACCATCCTCAGCGAAAATAAATCCACTTCCTTGGACAATGCATTCTCTCCAAGCAGGCAATACAAAACTGACCCAAAAGTGTTGCTCATAAACCAACAGTCACCCCCAATTATCCCCACTGTGCTTAAATTTTACATGCAAGAGGCTGTCTCTTTTCTTGCAAAAGTTTTCCTCCTCCCACTGCCTAATCCCCTCAAATCTTACCCAGGGTTGTCTGGGTAGGGCCAGCGATGTTAGGATATCCCCCATGGCTCCTAGCATCTGGTCAGTGCGTCCCTCTGTCTGCTGTGGAGCCTTCATGATGCCACGGATCCTGCTCACCTTCTCCCACCACACTCGGCTTCAAAGCTGGAGGCATCTGGAGGACTGGGAGGAGACTGGGCACCCTGCCTCTGTGGATGTGTGTGTGTGTGTGTCTATGTCCGTGTCCGTGTCGGATGCTGGAACAGTCAAGTAAAAACCATTTCCAAGTCAGCCAGCTACAGCTACCATAACATCCCTGCTACAAGCTGCTGCCTCTTTAACCACACCCCTGTGTGTCTGGATCCTACACCCTTCATCTCTTAAACATCATCTCCATTTACAGGCATTCAGAGATAGTCATGGATTAGGGACAAAGGGGACACTACAGACAAAGTTGAGCATGTCACCATGCCCGGAAGTTGAATTCTATATAATAGGAAAATGGCAGATAGCATGATTTAAAGGGGACATCAGCAGAGACAAATCGGCTAGCCCTGACAAATAGCAGGGTTCAGAAGCGTTAAATCTGAAACTAGTTTAAACAGACTATGACTGTGCAGGAGTAAATGAAAGAAGTAGTGGAAAATCAAGCATTTAATTATGATAATATGACACAGAGATAAACATCTACATTATTCATTCTGTGAGCTGTATAGTTAGTCCTGCAGCTGAACAGTCCTGCCGTTGAGTAGAAGGGATAATGCGTTCAAGAAAGTCAGCCACTTGAGGCCACTACATAGTCTGCCTCAGTTGACCTGAATAAAATGCTCCTTGAGTTCTTCCATGACTTCCCATTCACAAGAAGTATACAACTCAGATGTTCTTTTAATTCTTTCCAAACCAAAGAAAACCTAGCCATTTCCTAATCAAAACTGGCTGCTCTCTACCAAGGGGAGACATCCTACTTGGGTTGATGTGGAATTTTCACTGACAAAATGGCTTTTGTGGTGGGGATTGCCAGTTCACAAAATGGCTGCCACAGTAGACACGGCCAATCATCATGCCCGTTTGCCAGAAAGTAAACTCATGAAGTACACTCATTCCCCGGCTATGATCTTTACCACTCCAACTTAATTTTATCTTCGCCTCTCACACACACCCTACCTTGAAAGTATGGACACTTTCAAGGTAAGTTGCAGCCACATAACATTTTTATTTTCTAAGAATACATTGTAGGGTTTGCATGGAATCCTGAGAGAGTCTTATGAATAAAAATGATACTGGCATTTTGCTTAATAACAGGAATAATTCCCCTTAGTTTTAACTCTTTTTAGGCAAGGTAGGAAGTCTGGCAGGAGCCAAAAGAGATGTTGCCAGGCAAGTTGGTAGCCAGAGGCAGCACTCTGCTGACTCCTATTTTTCACAAACACAACTAGTTGATGGAATCTACTTGATAGCTACCTAGTAACCATCAAATGCTTCTAGAACAGGCCAATGGAAAACTTTCGGAGTGACCTCCCAAATTCAGGGAACAGAAAGACCACCTATGTGGAACAAAGTTGGAGGAATGGCGAAGATCAGTTCCCTCCCTCACATTGCTCTTTTATCCCATGAGTGTTCATTTCCGTTGCTGCATTATCTGAATAGAAAAAGCTAAGATAAGGTGAACTGATCAACTCACATCTTTGAATCTATCAACTGCATGCCTTCTTGTAAATAAATTTTCAGATGCCAACAAGGTTTATTTCTAAGAAAGTATGCCCACATTTCAACTATAAAAATCAATAGTTACAACCATTACCAAGCCACTATCTCAGTTATCATGAGACACCACATACATTACCACCTACTACTACCAGCAGTGGCATTTTCCTCGTGGTAGTGGCTTACCTCTTGTGGTCTGTTTGCATTTATTTGAATGCTTGTTGAATGCATGTTTGTTTCTGCCTCAATGGGGAATCTCATTTTTACAAATTATCAAGTCTTGCTGTACACAACACCAAAAGAAATTTCACCAAGTACCTTCCAAGGCTGGGTTGGTCATATTTCCAGGAGGAAATTCTAGGAATTACAGGAGTTCATCTAACACAGTGTTTCTCAACCTTGGGGACTTTAAGTCCTGTGGATTTCAACTCCCAGAAGCTGGCTGGGGAATTCTGGGAGTTGAAGTCCACAGGATTTAAAGTCGCCAAGGTTGAGAAACACTGATCTAACACATCTAGAAGGCATTTAATTGGAAGCAGTTGATTTAAAAGAATATGTAACCCCCCAAAAACTCTTGTTTCTCCCATGAGTTTCTTGCAATTATGGTACAATGATCTCTCCAGCTAGTTTCGTCTTCTGCTTATAGTCTTGTAAATACGGGAACAGGGTCACTCCCACCCTCATGTTCATTTCCTGCAGTTTTTCATTCCCACTTTCCAGAGAGAGAAACACACACACAAAAAAACATTTTTTGAGCCAAAGCCTTGAACTGAAGCCATGAGGGAAGGAAAAAGGGGTGGGGAGACCAGAGCTCTTGCCTCTCCGCCACGCAACCACAGCCTCCTTCTCCAGCCTTCACGTCATGCAAGGCTTCTGCACAGCTTCTCCCCCCACCCCCCATTGAGAGCTTCTGGCCCCCAAAGTTAACCCAAAGTTAACACTAAATGCACAAAGTTTCCTCCTCTGTCTTGTAGCATGACTATTGCAGCCCCATCTCTAACCCTCCAAGTATTTACTGCTGGACCCGGGAAAAAAATTATAATCATTTAAAAAATAATTATGCTGACCATCAGTAACCTCCTGGATTAATTCTTCTGCAGGATTGATTCACATTGACTTGAGACTGCTAACCCCCTGATTTGGATTTACACTCTATGCTAAATTCTGGATCCCCACTTTTGCATGGCTATATACCTCTATGGTGATCCGATTAGTCAAGAGAAAAGCTGTTTGGTTTCTAATTAGTTACCCAAAAAGCAAGGCACAAGGCATAAGCAACCTTAAATCCACTGATTTTGGTGGAGTTTTCTTTCAACCACTAAATCAAACTCAGGGAAATATATATAAAATAAGGGTATAGGGGTTGGTAGCTGAGGCACAAAGACAAGTTTTTCTCTGACATGCTCCATGGCGTTGCCTTCATCTTGTTTCCAAAAAAAAGGAAGATGTTGGCCACAGCAACCCTATCCCCCTCTCCATCTCTTTTAAGTGCAACATGTCACTTGTTCCAAGAAGTGGAGTAGTTTCAATCACATGGTATTTGGGCCATCCTGACCCTCCACTGGATGGCCCTGATCTAGCTCATAAGTGAAGTAGTATTTTCTATCCATCCAAGGGCAGCTTTAAGGCCTATGAAATTCCTTAGCCTCTGTTTCCCCATTACCTTAGGGAAAGCCTAGTGTTTGCCAGCAACTGGAAGAGAAGTGATAAACGGAGATCAAGGATTGGCAATGGGGATAGCCAATTTCACACTGGCATAATTTTCTGCATCGGTATGCTGGTCTTGTTGTATTTGGGTCTTTTACCGTGTAGGATTGAGATTGTCTTGCCAACGTTTCGGCGAGGTCTTACTCGCCATCTTCAGGTTGGGTTTTGGGCTTAAGGTGTGATCGGAGCTGCCGTCTTTCTATAAATCTTGGTGGGGTATGTGTGTGTGGAGTGCTGGCTTTGTTTCAATAAGTGGAATGATTGGTTGTGTGGTTGTATCATGATTGGTAGATTGGTGCTGATTGGTGCTGNTGGGAGGTAATTGGCAGTTCAAACCAACCTGTTCCAAAGGGGCCATGGGGTGACAGGAAAGGCTGTGGCAAATGCTGAAATTACTAGTGCCTCCATTGTGATACAAGCTCCACCCCTTTTATATATGTGCTGTGATGTCACCTAGGAATACCCTGTTTCCCTGAAAATAAGACCTCCCCGGATTATGAGCCCAATCGTGCTTTTGAGCGCTTTCGCTAAAATAAGCCCTCCCTAAAAATATTGCAACACAGCAGCAGCCATGAGGTGACCACACTCGCCGCCTCGTGCCCCTCAAAAATAATAACACCTCCCTGAAAATAAGGCCAAGTGCTTATTTGGGGGGGGGGTCAAAAGAAAATAAAACCCTATATCTTATTTTCGGGGAAACACGGTAGGAGTGGTGCTTATGTTGTGATTTCACAATGCTGACATTTTGATTTTGATGGACACTGGAATCCTGCGGGTGTCTCTTATGAGCAGCATGCTGATATTTACCATCGATATTCAGCAGCAGTCAGAACAGAAGCAATAGAGAAAGATTAGGGATCAGCAAAGGGAGAAGCAATTTTCATGTCAGTAAAGCTTTTGTGCAGACTCATGGGATGGGTATTGTAACTCAGTGAAGAAAGGTTATCTGGTGCTAATTGTTCTGCGTTCAGATGTAAGCTTTGTTCTTGTAGTATGTTCTACGTTTATTCTGCCCAGTCTTACAAATGTCCTCAGATTTGGGGAAAATACTTTTACTGACAGGCTGGTGCAAAAGGGTTGGCAGAGATTAATTTTTTTTAAAAAAATAAAGCTGTTGGCTCTTATTATTTTTCATTGCATCAGATTTTTGTCTGTAAGGGAAAATAACGCATTCATCTTCAAACACCCACATATTATCAGGAACACACGCATATGCCAAAGAGGCCTGTTTCTATTTGTAGAGTCCTTCCATTTTCTTAAGTTCATGAAACCTCGTTGGAGTACGTAACCAGGATGCAATCTCCCAAGTCCCCCTTTTTGTAGCCTTCGGGACTTGTCTGCTAGTAATTGATAGCATCATTACCCCCACCACCCCCGTTGAAAAATGTTACATATGTCCTCAAGTAAGCCTCTCAAGGAAAAAATACCCAGAATCCCTACAAAGAAGCTCTAGCCCTTTGTGTGTGATGGCCATCTATCTGTTCTGTTTTACAATTACACTTACACTCTGGTGTGCTTATTGTTTTATGCAAGCTGCAGTTCCTTGCTCCTGACTGAAACTCATCTAATGCCAGCTTAGGCACAGTTCACTCTTTTCTGCTTTGCTCTGTCCCAATAAACGCTACCTCATCTTCAGGGGTGGGCTGCTGGAGGTTCGCACGGGTTCGGGCAATCCTCTAGCTAGGATTATGTCCAGTCTGGCCAACCCCCAAATGCCACCCCTGGCTGGCCATGCCCACCACTCCCCTCCCAGGAGTCT